CTCCCTCCTATTAAGTGTTTAATGGTATTCTTGTGACATTTTATGATTTTATCATTTTTTATCTTGTGAGCCACTTCAGATGACTCTGGAGAGATGGCATATAAACCTCTGAATAAACAATAAGTAAAATAGCTGTGCAGGCAGGGTTAACTATACGTAACCTCAGCAGTACCTAGGAGGGGGCAGCTGATCTTTACACCAGCAGAAGTAGCACAGAAAGCTATACATCTTCTCTTTTTCCCATAATATTATTTAAGATGGGGGGGGGAGACAGCTAGCAGACAGCCAGATGCCTCCAGAAAGTTCAAAAGAGGTCTACAACTGTTCGTTAGAGATAGAATGCCTGTGTGTCTAGAGGTACCCCTGCAGCACTCATGACTAATGGCCACTGATCAGTGTCTCTTTCATGAGTTTTGTATAATTGTTTTTAAAGTATCTAAGTTAGAGTTCACCACTACATCTTGTGGTAATGAACTAAAGTTAAAAATGAACTAAACAAATTAATGTGTGATGAGTAAAGAAATGTTTTTTTGTGCGTGCTCCTAACCTACTGCCAATTATTATTATTGGAGATTTACTTGAGGAATCATTCCTCACATTTTGTACCAATACTTCATATGGGGGAGGGGCATGTTAAGTGCTATAAACAGTTGCAGAAACACCAGAGGCTCAATCTAGCATTACACTTCCACTCGTGCTAGAGCTCTTGCAAAAACAGAAAAACAAGAAAAAAGTGTGGTAGCCACTTGCACTAATTCAAATTTATTGTATCCACACGTCTGTTTCCGCTTGTGTAAGATCTTGCACAACCAATTTCTGGGCACTCACTATAATATATAGTGAGGAACAAATTAGATGTCATACAAGATTCTGTCAAGCAGAACCATGTTAAGTCTGTTCATTTTTGTACTTCCAAGCTGTATCATAAATGCTCTAACTCATGTGCCATGTATCCAGATGCAACCTAATGCAGGGGTGTCAAACTCATTTGTTATGAGGGCCAGATCTGACATAAATGAAACCTTGTTGGTCCGGGCCATGTATGTCATAAAATGTAATGCCAGGTAGTAGAGATATAAACTCTATAAAGGGCACAGAGAAACACAATTAAAGATTGTTTAAACTTTAAATAAAACATGCTTAAAACACTAGCACTATTGCAATATTTTGTCTTGCTCTGAATAATCAAAATGTCTGTGCTCTAGCAATCCTGAGTATACTGTTCAGGTGTGTATCTGTAAGCTGCAACCTACTAGAGCCTGAGCCAGCGGAAGGAAAGAAAGGCTTCCCTTTGTCTCCTGCAGCCTGGCCAGGATGCAAGCTCTTGCTGTTCCCTTTCTCCTCCTGGGAGGAGGAGGGGAAGGAGCCTCAACCAGTTCTTTATCAGACTCTCTCAATCACACAGGAGAGACTTGCCTATTTATCTCTCCTGTGTGATTGAGAGAGACTGGTAAAGCAAGCTGTGACATGGCAGCAGCAGGAGAACTGGAAAAGGAAGTAGGAAACAGCCAGGACCTTGTGGGCCGGATTGGGGCCCTCTGAGGGCCTGATCTACTCCATGGGCCACATGTTTGACAGCCCTGACCTAATGGTTCAAGAAACTACCTTTTCTTGTTCCCTTCCTGAAACTGCAAAAACAGGAGGCCCCTCACCTGGCAGGCCACAACATATGGTTAGTGTGTTGTGTTCAGTGAATATAGTAGTATAGCAATACAGCCCTCTCAACAAGTATTCCCTTTTATACTTCTTTCTGCTCTCCCAACCCATCATTATATCCTTCCTTATAAATGTAAAGGTGGGCTATTTCATTCCGCCTTCAAAACTGGATTCTCAGTGGAGAACAGAGTGATTTTGTAATATATTTGCCATACTTTCAGTACTCTCTCTCTCTGGATAAATCATGCACACTGCTGTAGAGGTAGACTCTATGCCAGGCCTTGAAACATGTTATTTGGATCTAGGAACCACCCCCAAAAGGTAAGACCAGATTAATTTTTCAGCCTTCAGGGATTCATATTCTAATTAGCACATTTCTAACTACTGGTACCACAAAACCTAACACTAACTTGTTTTCACAGTTTCTCATAATGTTATTAATTCTATGACAAAAGTGTTGCAGCATATAAATGCAGAGGTAATCCCAGTTCTTATCACCATAACAAAAATATAACCTCTGACCCAGATATATAACACTCTGCTAAATTTAGAAACATGCCCAAGTGTTTGTTAGGATCTCAATGAAGCTATGGCAGAACGGGCCAGCTCCGGCCTGTGGGCCCTGTTCCACCCTGCCCTCCAAGGTTTTCCCAACACCTGGAGAGGTTTTTCTTTCTCTCTTGGGTAACCTGCCACCACCACCTGTCCGTTGTAAAGATTTGCCCACTGGGAGGGTGAGGACTCCTAGCTTTCCTTCCAAATTCTAAGGCCTTGCCTCTGTGTCTCCTGCTGCCCAGCACCTGGTCACCATGGGGATAGCCTTGTGCATCCCTGGAGGAATAGCCACTTGCCAACTGCCTGCCTTCCCCCTGTCATTTCTTTTAAAATAGCGTGTTCAAGATGGTGGAGGTCTACGTGGTACAGAGAACCATTACCAGCATCAAAAGTCATAAATTATTTATTAAAAAAGAAAATGTTCACAAGAATACTTTTAGCACAGCACCAGATTGAGCAAGGGATTCAAAAGAAATCGGTAAAACACAATTTCCCTGTCCCTCTCTCTATACATGCCCTACCAGATGTTAAAATATAGGACAGGCTCCTTAGCATAGGAATTTACAAATCTCTACAATGTTAGCATTACTTTGAAGCTTTCCCCAGCTCTTCCAGGCCAGCACATGGTCAATGGATTCCTTCTCCAGACCTCATTTAAGAGTTTTGTCAGCACCCAAAAAAAGAGCTTTCTCTCACTCCCCTGAATTTTATCACTTCTCTATTCCCCACCAACTGACAAGGTCAGGCTGGTCAGAGAAGCTTTTACTGAAGACTCCAGAACTTTCCTTCCTGAAGGCTCCCTAGTATTTAGTTCCTCCAAATCCCTGTTCCCTGTGGGGGGGGAGAGGCTTGGCCATCCCACTGTCTACACCTATTAGCATTTGTATGAAGGTGGGCTGAGGTAAGTCTGGAAAGCAACTGAACTGATTTCCCCTCTTCCTGCCTGTTCTCTGCTCGAGGGGGGGGGCTTTTAAAACTCAGAGTGAAGGTTTTCCTCATTTCAACCCTTCAAATGGAAAAAAAACCACATTTCTTCACGGAAGCTAGTCTGAAGTTATATACATCTTCAAAGCACCAACTGCTGTTAGTCAGGGTATGCTACTGCAATATGAATGTTATATTATGCCTTTTTATACGATGAATATCTGCAACTCCTATAACTATTGGGTTCGCTTGAACCTTTCTGAAGCTAGCCAAATTTCCCTCTGATTACAGGCAGGGTGTTGGGAGCAGAAGCAGTGAAGCCAAGAGATGATAAGAGAAGTTTACACTTGTTGAAAATATTAGGCACCATTCTGGGCACAGAGCAGAGATCACTGGGGGAGGGGGCTGGACTAGATGACACTTGGTCTCCTTTCCAGCTCTATGTTTATGTTTGTAACCCTGGCACGTGAGATTTATTGAGCAATGCCTTAAATACAATTTGAAAATGGCAGTATATCCCAGAGCAAAAATTATTAATCTTCTAGCATTTTCTTCCTTTCTTCTCTCTGATACTCTCATAACATGTTTGGCTCATTTTCCCTACAACTTTGTAACATTTACACACACACACCGATACATACCTGCCAGGGAAATAATAAAAGAAAGGTGTTATGTCAAACACAGAAAAGATATTGTAAGTAAAATGAAATGAAAGCCATTTCACCTATGGCAGTAAACACCAAACTAAATTATGTATTACAGTTTCATACCATTCAAACAGAACTTCCAAACAGCCCAATGAACTCAATTTAACATGTCACCTGCAACTTCTGGACTCTTTGAAACAATATATTTTGGACACACTAATCTTTGTTGTCAAATTGCCAAATTTGTTTTAGTATCATGGTATGACCAAAGCTTTCATGTAACTATAAAAAAAGGTAGATTGTGTGCACATATTTTTAATGATAGTGAGCCATAGCTGGCATTTACCTTTTGTGCAAGAGTTGTACAGAAATACAGTGCAGTAAAGTCGGTTCATTAGTTGGGTTTCCAAGTTTGACTGACAGCCAACAAGGATCTAAATATGAAATCTGATAAGAATGTAAACAGTAGTGAAGTAGCAGGAGTCTCTTACCTTAACATTTCTCTTTGCAGCACAGTTTCATAACTGATAGGTGAACAGATGTCCAAGCAGGTGGTACTATCACAGTCAGTCATGAAGTAACCAGAAGAAGTTGATATTTTCAATGTTCTCAGTCAAAGACTCCTGCTGCACAGCTGTAAATTTCCCAAGTGCATGAAACAAAACACTAAAAAGACTGTTCAATACAAGGCACTCACAATATCCCAAGTATATAACATTTAGATAACAGAAAGATGGGCAGCACTGGCATTAATGAGCCACATTAGAAAGCCACTTTCAACAACAACCATCCATAGGACATGAGACGTAGTTAAGAGAAATGCACAACTGCAAGAAAGAATTCCAAATCCAACTGAGTTCACAGGATCTTACCTGATCAGTCAAAGGCCTTTCAGAATAATTTGGTTTTTTAGGAGAAAAAAATGAAAATTGCTTAGCTAATGTTGGGAATGTAATACAATATCCAAGTATCACACAGGCAGCAAAATATACATAGTGTAGAGACTACAGAAGATTTATAGGTTTATATTTCACTTGGTTTGTTATAAACAATATGATTCCCTCCTTAAACTTTCAAATTCAAAAAATTCAAGTATTCTCGGCATCACTAGACAATGTGCCAACGACCACAAAAAAATGAACCATGTATTCATTTATATCATAGCAAAAGCATTGTGTTTTTTACTAGCATTGCAAACCCATAACACACAAAGGATATAATCATCTTCATGACAAATTTATCATGTGGATCCTCTGTTTTAGGGAACTTCTTGATATCATTTTCCAAACGCTGTATTTGATGTTCCATGGAATCAAGGTTGCTCTTAATACTTTGAGCTGAAACTGTGGAGAAATATGATACCTGATGAAACCAAATTCAGATGGAGGGATGAAAAGCACTGTCAGAAATAATACTCTTGAAAGCAAGGAGAATAATTCCATTAAAATGGGCTCTCATTTTTTCCCCTGAATTACTGCTCATAAAAGTTCTACTCTTTGTGAAATACATGAGAATATATAAGATAATATACCAAATCATCATGCTTAATGTGGCAATGTCACCATTTTATTCTGCTATTAGCTCAAATTAATCTATTTCTATTTAAATTTATTGATAGAAATGCTAATATTTCATTCCTTTAAATCTAATTTGTAGATTAAACAGAAACTAAGGTTCAAAGAGATTCTATCTTAGTAATGCATATAGTTGGGTATATAAATGATTTAAAAAGAGACAGTATAAGAGATCAAATAGACCTGTATAAACCTCTATCTATTGGAGCTTCATTGCTGCCCATTTAATACTGTTTTAAAAAACAGTATTCTACACACTACTGATACCTATTGCAAATTTAAGCAAAATCAAATGGAAACAACACACAACCTTTGTTAGTATCATAACACATCCTCTAATTTCATTCAGCATTGTCTTAATCACCTTTCTATATCTTTATATTCTACTTCTTCATTTGAGAGGCAGTCATAAACTGCCATCACTTTGGATATTGAAGACTAAAGACACTAGGTCATTGCTTATAAAAAGAGTCAAATTAACGGCGGGGGAGGGGGCAGCCTAATAGTATGTGCAAAGTGTGACATAGGTATGAAAAGTATAATGAAAAACCCTAAATGCACAGTAGAGTAATAAATACATTAGAATTATTATAAAGATATTCTGACTTGACCTGATACAAGTAAAAAAGTTTCAAAAATACCAAGTTGTCTTCATAAGCAATAAAATACAGCTATCTTACACTGAACAGAGCTAGATGGTAAAGCCTGACAGGGCACAGAAACTTACACTGAGTTATCAAAGATATTTGTTCAAATATTTCCTCAGAACACAGACCAACCATAAATGGAGCAGTCAAGACATCTATACAGACCCAAGCATACCTTTTAACATTTGATGTACTACTGAACTTAGTTAAAATATGTGGGGTTCTTCACCTTGGTTTGGGTAAAGTGTTCTTTATCTAACAAGAGACACCGCTCACCTGCTCATTATATATCCCCATCAAATGAATCCCTGTATATCAGATGCGAACAAAAAGGAGGGGAAGGGGAAGGGAAAAGGGGGGGGGGAGGAAAACTTAATCCAAAAAGCTGCTATGGATCCACAAGGGTTAAGCTAAAACTAAATATTATGAAAATACAAAATTAAAGTCCACCAATCCTGGAGTGACATACATTCAACTCACGCAAGTTTGTGCTATCAGAATTATTAATTGGCTATACCAGAGGGCTATCCTATATAATAATAATAATAAAAAAACAAATATACAAGTATTTAGGATACAACATCTGGCCTTATACTGCATATGTATTTAACATCTTATGTTAAAAAAAATTTGAATGTATGTCAAGTTTGTAATTTGGATTGTGACCACTGAGGAAGGCCCTTTGGGAGGCTGAAACGCGTTTGGTTAAGTTGCACTGCACTAACCCATCTATGTATGAATGTTGAGAAGTTTTTGATGTCTGTATGTGAATATTTTTAATGAGTCTATTTTTTAAAATGTGTACACCTGAATAAATTTTGTATATCCCTGTATATCAGACACATGGAAAAGTAACCTTGGATTAAGCACAGTAAATGTTGGTCCTCTAAGGATGAGATTAACCTCTTCACACATAAGGATGGATTCTCTTCTGAGGAAGGGAGCTTTGACTCTGGACTAGGGGTGTGCAAAAAAAATAATAAAAAAATTGGCCCATTCGGATTCGGCCGAATCGGGCCGAATCAATTTTGGCTGGCAGTAAGACTCCCGCATGTCAGTGGAGAGGCTCCAAACTCTCAGGGTAGCTGCTGGAGCCTCTCCCCAAGATACCAACCATGTTTGAAGAACATTGGACCAGGGGGTCCAATTCTGCAGCCCCCAAAATAGGTGCCCCTATCCCCTCCATTGTTCTCTATGGTGGGGGAAAAGTTACTTTTTTCCACCATAGAGAACAATGGAGGGGATGGGGCAACCTATTTTGGGGGCTGCAGAATTGGACCCCCTGGTCCAATGTTCTTCAAACATGGTTGGTATCTTGGGGAGAGGCTCCAGCAGCTACCCTGAGAGTTTGGAGCCTCTCCCTCAAACCCCCTCCCCTCCAGTCCCCAGAATACACCCTATGTTTTCGCCATTGACTTCAATAGCCCATAGGAGATAATGGGGCCGAATTGCCACCAAAATTCAGCGGCAATTTGGTGGCAAGCCGATTCAGAACAGAGAATCTGAATCGGCCTGCAGCAGCCTGAAAGGGGTCCGTATGGGCCATTTTGGGGGGTGCATTCGGTTCGGACGTATGCACATCCCTACTCTGGACCCCAAAATCTTGTTGTTCTCTAAGGTGCTACTGACTCAGAACTATCCCTTCTACTGTAGACCAGCATGGCTACCCTCTACATACTCCTTCATTTAATTATATGAAAAAATAAGGTTCTTATAGTGACCCTAACCCTTTTAAAGGTATATGTTGTGTTAGGACATGTTCTTTGCATCTTTTGTTTAAGTTAGAAAAACCTCTAGCACTGCCCAGGATTAACAATGCCTTCTCCTTGTGCTGAAAGTATATCTGAAGAGAAAATCATGAAGACATTTGCAATCTAGGTGCTTGAGAATGTCATATGTGAGCAAAAGGGAACAGTCTTTCTACTTTAACATATTAGAAGGATATACTGCTAGCACTTTTATCCATAGATATTTTTTAAGTGATTGTACTTGGCAATCCATATATTTCTCAAAGAGAAACAGCACGGTAAATGCTACAAGAGCCTAGGTTGTCCAAAGAATTAATTTGGAATTAATAATAAAATGTATGCATCTGAAAGAGGTTAGTCTTAAAGGTGGAGCCAAGGGATAGAGCTGAGAGTCAGATGTAAGAAAGATCGTGACTGAAGAGTCTGAATAGTTTGTGCTCAAGGGAATGGAGTAGTGGGAAAGCCAGGAGCAAGGAAACACATAAGAAAAGGCATCATGCATTTAGAGAGGTGTTTAGTGGGTATCTAACGGTATCTGAGGAGTATACACTACTTGCTGGGGGCCAGTTAAATAAAAATAATATGTGTTCCTGGCTGGCATTCTAATGTATAGGCAGGAACCAAGAGGGCTATTAAAGCACACAAAGAAGCATTTGGTGGTACACAGAAATGTTGCTCAGAGCCGCTGCCTTATTAGTGACCTGAGAAACTTCGCCCACATACAGAAAAAAAGTATAATACTCCCCCCCCAGTATCCATTTGATATAATGACTTATTTCCAAAGAGAGATTGTCAGAGTGAGCAATTTTCATATCCTAGGTGACCGAGAGATATAATGCACCTTGGTTTTTGCACTGTGAGTGATAACAAAATCAGAAGGCAAAGGATAAAGTCTGAACAGAATAGTCTTATATACAGGGAAAACAAGGAACTATGCCACTGACAACATATTCCACAATCACAAGCATAATCAAAAGAGGTTCTCCCTTTGAACAACCAATACATCTAAAGCAATATATACATACTAGGGGTATGCAAAAAACCACAGTATTTTTCAGGTTCTGGTATATTGAACTTGGAAAACATCGGTATTTCCCAGTATTCCTGAATCCCAATACTGGTATGGTATTAGGAGTTGGTAAATATTTGGGATTCTCAAAGTTTTTTGGCTCCATTATACCCTATGGGGACCATTACAGTCAATGGCCCCTATAGGGTATAATGGAGAATCAATCTGGGGGTATCTGGGGCTCTGTGAGGGCTGTTTTTTGAGGCAGAGGCACTAAATTTTGCAGCATAGCTGCTGGTGACTTTCTACAAAACAACAACAACAACCCCCCTCCCAAGTTTCCAAAAAGTTTGGACTGGGGGTTCCAATTCTATGAGCCCCAAAAGAAGGTGCCCTCATCCTCCATTATTCCCAATGATGGTCCCTTTAAATGCCTTTTGCAAGCCACGCTGCAAGTGAACTCCAAAGTGGAGAAGGTGTTTAAAGGGAAGCAAATCTCTTTAAACACCAGCTATCTAGCGGCCCCAAAAAATCCCAAATATTTTCAGGATGTATTGGGTTTGGCCATTTCGGATAGCTTTAGACAATAATGAGCTTTATATTCGGTTGAAATAATATCCAGAAAATACAGATAACGTATTTTCCAGGTTGTTGTGAGATTTTTTTTGGCTCAATATTGCTGAATGCACACTTCTGATACATACAAGGAACATGTGGGATATATCTGAAATCAAGGGGAGGAAAAAAATTTTAAAACTTGCCCCAATCTTGCCTGTTGCCATTGAAATTACCCTACCAAAGATAATAGAATTTGCAGTATCTAAGGAATGTTCTCTGACAATTTAACACATTAATCATATTGAAAAATATGTTCTAGGAAGGCCAAGGCAAATTAGGGCAATTGCTGTGACCTTAGATAGTGATGTACAATTGTATTATAATTTTAAATACAACAATGCATTTGAGTGCACACATACAAACACAGAGATGGGGGCAAAACAATGAAATCTCATTAAGAATTCAGCTTATTAATTCAGTTGCCAGGCCATGCTTACAATGAAATGGCTTGTGGAATCTGTCGATACCACAGATAGTTTGGAGTCCAGAAGGATTACAATGCAATCAATAAATATTACCTTTGAGAGTGGGGGTGGGAGCAGTGGCAGCCAAGAACATATTGATGCTGAATGCAAGGTATGGTATGGTATTAAGATAACAGGGTTGCACTTACCTGTAACTGTTGTTCATTGAGTATCTTCTGTGCAGGCACACATGGGGACTGTGCATGAGCAGGCCTCCCTACCGGTAGTTTTTTTATTTTTTTATTTTCTAGCTAAGAGCCTCCGGGGACCCTGTG